TTTGCTAAGTCTTAGACTTTGTGTTAAACAACACTTTTAACCAAACGAATCCTTACAAGCCTAGGCTTGGCCTTTGTAATCTCGAAGGTTTAGAGGTAGAAGTAGAAGAGTCTACTACTAGAGTCTAGAGTCTAGTCCAATTTATTTAATCTCTTGAATGTACTGGATAACAGAAATCTGCTACCTCCCACAAGATTACAACTCTAGATCTAGATCTAGATCTAGATTCGAGATTTTAGTAAATGCAGAGTTCAGAGAAAAACTTCAAGAAATTCTCGTGGTGATGAGTAAAGAGAGACCAAAACAATCTCAATAAATAATACATCGCGACTATCACGGCACATCACTTCACCTATACATGTTCCGGTGACTACCTATAAATAGATGGAAGTTTGACCCGTGTCAAAGGTTGGTAGGCATGTGTGGCTGACGATTCGTGAAGTGGCTGCGGGTTGACGAAAGGGAAAAGTGCATCGCCGTTATCCTTCCTCTTTTTATTTTCTTTTTATGTCACTCCCTACAGCGCGGATGGTTGGAGGGCGCCACTGTAGGTCCTATTTCTTTACTTTCATTCTGTTTTTTTCCGGTTTGTCTTACTTTTTCTCAGCATTAAATCACCATTATTGTGTTTATTTTCTTCTCTTTACTCAAGCAAAATGAAAAAGAACTGATAGTAAAACCCCTGGTCTTTGGCACTAATATGACCTGTTTGCTTGGCTGGTGCGGTAAAACTCGATCTTAACTAAAACTGAACTGAACGGAGTATCACTGCCTGCCTGCTGAAATGTTGTATCTCACTGCGCTTGGGTTGGCCCTGACAGGCAGGATCTAAGCAGTTCGACTGGTAGATGATCTTAATCGTGTCCATGGGGATGAAAAGTATTTTAAAATATTGCGATAAGTGTAGGTCCTGCTTTTTAACGATCCCACTATTATGTCGTATGTAGTTGGAAGATGCCACTGTTAGGTCATACTTTAAGAAAAAAAGCTTTCTATCGGTCGGTCTGGTTCTTTCCCAGATTTAACGAATCATAAGATTTAAGTGTAGATGTGTTTTTCTCTACGAAAAAATGTTTTTACTGAGTGTCTACCCCGCTTTTTTTCTACCCCAACGTTATACACTTCACTTGCACACACCCCTACTAACCCTCGGGGCAGTGCCACTGACTGAAGTGTCTTTAGGCCATTCCCAAAATGGGGGACATTTCTCGTTCAAGCATAGTAGAATTGTAAATGGGCTGACTCATGCCACGCCCA